TTGTAGCTAGAAGGTCGCCGGTTCGCGTCCCGGTGAGGACACCCAGGATCTTTCTGCGTGGAGTCTCCATGTTCTCCCCGTGCAGCGTGGGTTCTCTCCGGGTTCTCCGGCTTCCTCCCACAGTCCAGAAACATGTTGAGGTTAATTGGTGATTGTAAATTGTCGGCAGGTGTGAATGTGAGTGTGCTTGGTTGTCTGTCTCTAAGTGTAGCCCTGTGATAGACTGGTTACCTGTCCAGGTGAACCTGCCTTCACCCTGAGTCAGCTGGGATAGACTCCAGCCCCCCATGACCCTAGTGAGGATTAAGGTGTAGAGATAATGGATGGATTGATCCTACTGGTCAGCAGTGACAATAAGCCTCATTGATGAGTGTTTCTAGTTGTTTTTTTCTGCTAAATTTATTATTAAAAAAATAAAGAACGGCAGAAAATTTAAGTAAAACTTAAAGCTAAGAAGTAGAGGTTATGTGCACAGTTACTCTGGTCTATAACTACTTTCACATTTATCTAACTATCAAACTATTCTGCCACAAAAGCTTAGAAAGCAGACCATTTGCCAACAAGTTGAATGTGCTCTTAGTCCCTCTGAGTCAACGCTTTTTGATTTTTGAGATAATACATGCCATCATACTGCCGTTTGCCTTCATCTGGTGGTGAAAAAACAAACAAATGTCCCAGCTTTTATTTTGAAAGTTGAATTAACGGTTCAACAGGATGACCCTTCACTTCCAGGTCAGATTGAAACTCTGCTTTCAGTTTGTGATGGAGACACTCAGTGACGTGAAGCGACGTCCGTCATTCAGAGCCTGAGAATCTTTGTTTCCATCTCAAACTCTGCCACACAGCTGCTGCTGCACGCTCAGATCATCTGTCACGCTCACGATTCTGTCCTCCCTCGTGCTCAAATCTAATTCTGCGTTTTCAAATCCTGTGCCTGTGTGCTCTCAGATGCTAAACTGCCGACTAAGTCATGCTCTAAATGTCGTTAGACGGTAAAGTTGGTAAAAGATGTTGTGTAGCGTGCTTGTCAGTCTCACAAATGCTTTAACTTAAACCTGCAATGACTGATTTATTTATTTTTTGTCCATTTCACTTCAACATTGACATATCATCACCTTTTAAGCTGATACAGCAGATTTACAGAACAGCTGCCTACTTACACGTCCAACGGCGCAAAGCAACAGGAGCATTCATCTTGAGCTGTTCATCTGTCCACTTAATGCCTGTCCAATAATCACTCTCTATTTAGCTCTGGTTTGTTCTCCACGAGCTCTGGAGGGAAAATTCGCTCTGCTGCTTGGTGCAACAAAACCAGACAGTTGGTCTTTAGAAGAGCTGCCTGCAGCCCTGATCGGAGGTTATTAAAAACAAATAAAAAGGGCTGAAAGAGGCTAAAACGCACATTCAGGTAATTAATTGTGAAAGTAAAAATGGTGATTAGTGCAGCTTGAAGCTCATCAAACTGAAGCGACAGGTAAAGGTTTGATTAGAGGCCTGCAGTGCAACAGAGCCACAGCTTCAGCATCCCTAAAATGTCCCCGAACCACCACATTTCGCTCTCTGTTCAACCGGAGGCCTTTAAAGGCCAAGCGCTCTGTTCCTGTTGTTCCTTCATATTGATTTGGTCGGTGGAGTGTGCGGCCTGCAGATTGGATTAGAGTCCAGCTGTACTGCAGCCCGAGTGAACAGCAGCTGTGCTGTTTGCAGACAGAACCGATAGCTGCTGGAGAGACACTCTGATCCATTCTAACTTTATAGAGCGTCTCTGGAGAGACATACCGCAATGAAAAGTAATATGGTTTAGATAAGTTAGCCACTGAGGAATCCAGCTTGGTTCAGAGTTTTATTTTGTCGGGGTTAGAAGGTCACAGTTGTCAGGTGGCTTGTTGAATAGTAAATAATCTCTCACTCTGTACAGTGAAGTAAATGCGAGCAGGCTGGCACATGCTGCAGAAATAGAAAACTGGAACAGAGTCACTGTAAGCTGCATATTAGGGAAATCCTCTAATATTACTATTTAAAAAATAAATGTTTTCAGGTCAGAAGAGCCCATGTTTTGTGTCATACCGTTTTTATTATTTGTATTTTTTGGGCGTGCCCATGTCACATTTGAGTTAGATCTTGACAACACGAGCCCATACTGCAGTGTGCTCGCTGCTGATAATGGCTTGTACCATTGAGTCATAGCTTAGCAACAAGCCTGCTGGCCTATTTTTGGTTTCAGGCAATTATCCACAACGCAGTGTGTTGGTGTGGTCCTATGACACTTCCAGATTGTGGATGTAATGAAGGGAAAAAGGTCTGCGCCCACGTCTGTCAAGAGCCTGTCGGGTTCTCCCCAAAAATATAACAATGTTATTTAACATGCGGACTGAATGACAACTCCCTTATTTTCTATTTTTACACAGCTGTGTGGTGACAACAGCGCAAGAATAGGACGTGTAGTTTTAAATAATGAGACGTGCTGAGGAAATAGGGCGAAAGGGCACCACGAGACAAACGGTGTTGGGTTTTCTAATAAGAAGGGACACTTTTCACCAAAGTATTATAAGAATAAATGGTTTTCTCTTTAAACTTTTGACATTCACTTTATTTTGTGGAGTATTTGGCCTTGTTTGAGCATGATTTACTGATGCACAAGAACACTTTTAAAATTCTATATCGAGTTGAAACTTAAAGTGGATAAGAAATGAAGGTGTTCCTCTCTGAATTTGCAAGATTTTTTCAATTAAATATAAAAAAAAATCACTATAATAAAAGGTTAATCATGAGCTATTTTGTGCACAGACAATAACCAAACATCTGGACTGGAAATCCTGTTTGCACTTGCAAGTTACCACATCATATATACTATCATGCAATGCTGCTTTATAGATACCAGACCCATTTATAACTGCAACCTACCATGTGTGACACTGAAGACAGCACACCCATGTTTATCCTCCATACAGGATTTAGATGCTTTAATTAATGTTTTTTCTTGAGCAGACTGTAGAAAAAGTGAGCAGCTCAAGGTTTAATACGAGTTCAGTCTCAGTGATGTAGCAGCCGTGGACACGTTATGGTGACAGGAATGAAAGAAATACTGGTACATGTGATGATTTGAATTATACTGCAGTGTTTGGGATTATTGTGGAGTCATGTGGAGGAGAAAAAAAAGGCAATTGTTGACTTTGTTGACAACCAAACACAGGATCCTCTTTGAAATGGTGTAAAAACTAAACATAAATCAGTCAGAAAACATAAGAACACTTTCTACATTTATTACACCTTTAAATCATCAATATCAAAATCAATATCATGAGTGCATGAAGATAATAAGAGGTCATCTGTCAGGGGTGCAGACCTTTCCTCAGGATAATGATCATCAGTGCACAAGAAAACTCTCTGAGGATTTGCTCACAAAGAAGAATTGACTGTTCCAGTAACAGAGTTCAATAAGTTCAGGTCAGTTTCATGCTGCAGACGGCTGTAAACCTCGAACAGATATCGACTTAAAATACTCAGGTCTCCCAGGTAAATATCTGGTCACGTTTAAAGCAAGACAGTAGATCTGCACTGTTATTCAGCATGAGCTCAGAGCACAGGGTTTGTCTTCGCTGTGACCTCTGATCTAAGGACAGAATTTCCAGGTCGTCCACGTCCGTCCACTTGCTTCCCGCTGACTGATGCGATAAAGGTCGCCATGGTTCCCTCTGTGTACTTCACGCTGTGGCTCACGTTCTTCTGTTTCTGCGCTGGTGTCTGTTTTCCTCTCTATTAGCCTGTGAACCAATCTGAGAGCTCGTGTTTCATTTGCTCTGGCAGGATGCGTCCAGGGCCCCCCTCCTGTTCGAACAGATTTCCACCCGGAGTCGCCGGTGCCAGGCCAATCACAACCGCTTATCTAACGCGGGGCGGGTTTGATGCGAAGCCTGCACGGAGGATTGCCGTCGAGGCGCTTTCGTATGCATGTTTCGCTGCTCTTTTAAGTCCGTCCAATTGAGTCCAGAGGCATTTTTGGTGTGATAAACCCCCCCTGGAAATCAAATGTGAACTGAGAGGTTCCAGGCTGATTTACATTTGTGTGTTTGTCTGACGACGCCAGGCTGCTGTTGAATTACAGCAGAATGAAATATGTCTTGGTCACCTTGTTTACACGTTTTAATGCTGCATCATTCATCCAACCTGACTTCATGTTTTCTCCTTTAACAGGGATTGAAATGATCATCATTAGGAGATGTCATTCAGTAATTAAAGGATACTCACAAAATGCTGTTGAAGACCTGATTTGATATCAAAACAGTAGTCGTGTTATTATACTGATCATGTATTTTATGGATATTTACACTCATAGATAATGTTTGTATATTATTCTTTATTTTTATTTGAATGTTTTTATTCTTATAACTACCTCACATATGGATTTCTGACTGTACTTTATGTTTACTCTCAACTAAATATCAGCTACATGCATGCAAAAAACATGTTTTCAGTCTTTTTTTTGGTTTTCCTTTGTCATCATCCAGTCTCCCACCCACTCCTCTTCGTTTCCATGCACCCTCTGTTCCCGTTTCATCTCCCATCCATCTCCGTCCATCTCTCGCACCATTTACGTCTTTGCTCCGCTTGTCGTTTCTGCATCTCATCTTTATTGCCGTCCTGCCTCCGAACACCGATTTCCTCCTCTTCTTCTCTCTCTCCCACACTTCTTTTTTTTTTCCTCCGCGAGTTCCAGTTCTGAGATCCCGTCTATATTACGAAGCAGCACTTGTAGGATGATTCTATTACATGTCTCCTAGCTGCCGGATAATTCAATAAGCACCACTGAGATGACACACAGTTATAATCTACTTAATGAAGCCACTGTACTGATGAATTGTGTGCCTTTTTCTTCCCTCATTTCACCGACCCTTCTCTGTGTCACCGCCTCCCTCCCACTGTTCCTCTCCTCCCGTCCTCCCCCCACTTCCTCTCGCTCTGTTTTTTTTTTTGCAGGGTGTTGATGGAGAGCCATTCGAATGACAGCCGGGACAGTGGTCATCACTGGTGGAATTCTAGCTACAGTTATATTACTGCTTATCATCGCAGTACTGTGCTACTGTAGGCTGCAGGTTAGTGATGTCTTTGAGTGTTGGACTACAGCTGTATCTGTGAAACTGAAGAGAAGTTCTTTCTTTCCAAGAGTTGAGCTGCATTTTTTTGTCTGTGCCTATGACAAGGCTGCACAATCTTCTATACAAAATGTTTTTATTTGTGCACAGTCTGCAGAACTGCATCAAAATAATGTAACACAGTCATGCAAACTGGTAGCTGGTAGCATGAGGATGAATTCTGAGTCACTATCCCAGCTGACTCAGGGTGAAGGCAGGTTCACCTGGACAGGTAACCAGTCTATCACAGGGCTACACTTAGAGACAGACAACCAAGCACACTCACCTTCACACCTGCCGCCGTTTCATAGT